CAGCGGACCTCCCGCAGGCGCGCCACCAAAAGCCGCCTGACTGCCGTGCTTGGGGTGGCAAAATACATAGAGCCGCCTCTGCTCCAGACAGCTGCTCTCTATCTTTTCCTTCAAAGTGGCTATTTCTCACCTCTCTTTCCCAGCCCCCACCCCATCGCTCACCTCCAAGCCTCCTCTTCTCAGACTCTGATGCTTGACTGACTGACTGACTTCCTTCCTGTCACCTTAGTTTCCCATGCCCTCATCTTAAGATACTTCAGTTTACACAGTAAGTGTAAAAATGAAATTTGTTTAAATGGGAAAACAAGTGAATAGATTCCCTAGACCCTCATCCTTCCTCTTTGTGAGCAAGCCCAACTCAAGACACGGGCTCTCTCGCAAGTTGTGACAACATGGCAGCACATCACCGCCTTGGCTGGTGATAGCGGATCCACTTCAGTGCAGAGATTTTGTAACAGTGAGCCAGGTATTAAACTCTAAACATTCTTTCTAGTGTAGGATTGCAAAAGTCAGACAGGTAAGAAAAGTTTCCACCTCAACATAAATCACACATGGGACTTTCAACTCTTCTCGAAGGTTTAATGTACAACAATAATTATAGGTGACCTCAGCAAGAACTCCTATCCTCAGCTGAATAAACAGAAGGGGCAGCAGTGCTTAGTGTTGTTACCCTGCGCTTCTCTCATTGCACAGTATTACACAGATCATGTCTTTGTGCCTCTTCTGAGGTTATACAAATAAGTGATGAAATGCTGCTGCTAGCCATCTATGGACCACTCGCCCAGCATGTGTGCTAGTGCCCTCATAATTAAGGTTGAATCTAGATTTTCCCTTTGACAGAATAGGTGTATAGTGCTCTATTTAAAAAAAAGGAGTAACTATTGAGAAGGTCTTTAATAGAGCTGTTTGGAATATTACTTGTGAAATTAAGAGAGGTATTGAAATTTGCCCCCTTTAAGGTTCACTGAGTTACGGTAAAATTATTTGGCCTGTTGCATGACATTTTCTATATTAGCAAAACTTTCATTGGCATATGGAATATATACCAATTTCTGAATAGATGTGGAATCTTCATGGCAACTTTTCACATTGTATTTTGAATTTCAGGCTGGATTGGTTGTGATGGATCACATACTATTAGTTCTGGATTCATGACTGAGTGAGAGTCTTCTCTCCTAGAAGGCTACAGGGTTAACAGAAACCATCTGAAAGCTTTTCTCTGAAGGAGAGATTGTAGTTAGGATGCTTTCTGGATGCTTGTCAGGAAAACCCTGTCCATGTATTATTTCCCCAGTCCAATATAAACTTTCTATTAAAAACACCAAACAATTCAAAGTCAAGGCTAAGGTCTTGCCTACAATTAAGAGTTTTGCCTCTTTAACTATGCCATAGTTAAGTGGCCAAAACCCCATAGTGCAGCTGCAGTTATACTGGTACAAAAGTGCTTATAATATGAGTATAGTTTATTCTAGTTCAGCAAAGTGAAATAAGTGATACCATTATAAAACAGCTTCTACTGATGTAACTGCATCTGCATTAGGGCTTTTACTGGCATAATTATGCAAGTAAAAAAAATCACAACTTTACTGATATAGTTATACCAGTAAAACTTGTTAAGTTTAGACCAGGCCTAAGAAATGAAGCAGTCAAATGTCAGGTATTTTGAGAAGTTAAGATTGAGCCTTAAACCTTAACTTCAGCCCTTGTGCCCACATTTTAAAATATTGTCTTTCTAGAGTTAAATTTGCAACTTGCTTCCATCATAAAACCCTATTTAACTCTGAAAACTTTTGGCCTGGAAAATTAATTTGGCCTGAAAATTGCCATATCCACTCTAATCAACTTTGTCTTTAATTTTCTTTATACTTCTCAGAAATATTCTAACAGCTGCTTTTAAAAAAAACCAACAGATTATCCAAAAATTACCCCAAATTGAAACTGACTTTTGTCCAGTGTTGTCATCTCCCTGAGGAATGTCTTATTAATATTACCTCTCCAAACTTTTATGTTTAGTTAAGTGTTCTTGAAAACTCATGGTCTGGCATATTTGAAGAAAATATGTTGTAATTAAGCAAAGTTATTAACTATATTTTTTCGATCAAGATCTTTTTGAGTAGGAACAGAAATTGTGCATGTGTTGCCCTATATTCGTTGGTTGCAGCTTAGAAAGAGCATAAAAATTATCACTTTGGCTAGCAGCCAGCAGAGCTTTTCCTCTAGTTCAAATGGAAGAGGCCTGTGTTTTTCAGAGCTAAAGCAACAGGGTTTCTGTCCCAGCTCTGGAAATGTGTATTTCATTATGGAGAAAGGATTTTAATTGTCTGTTGTTGGTGAATGGCCTAGAATTGTCACTTCTAGAACTGTGGATTCAAACCATTCTTTTGTTTCAAATTAGATTGCTTGAATTTCATCTATACTAGACTCAAACCATCTTAGATTTTTTTAAAAAGACAAAATCAGGCATGATCATATAGTATATAAGCATTAAGATTTTGCTCCTAAAATTGAAACTTACTGTGACTCATCTGATGCTCTAATGTATTTATTGCAGGATGCATGTATAGAACTACAATTTCATTAATTGAATTTGTTAAACAAGTAGATGGGAAGTGCTATAGCTGGATACACAAGATGGCAAGTAGACAAGACAAGGAGGATAAATTGTTTCAGGAGAATGGTGGTGAGAAATGCTCACACCCCAAGAGAAAAACCAAACTATTTATCAGATTTATAGATTTGCTTTATGATATTTAAAAGACCTAAGCCAAGATTTCAAAAGGGGCTGGTTACTTTGAGTGACTCAGGTTTTTCTGGATGCTCAACTTGAAATGCCTTAAAGGGGCCTGATTTTCAGAAGGTAGGTGTTTGGAACACTCTAAAGCATTTCAAGTTGGGAACCCAAAACAGCTAATCCCTTTTAAAAATCTTGGGTCTCCTGGTCACTACACTGCCAATATTGAGCAGCCAGGCCCTTCATTGGTGTGTGTGATTCTGAGAATTTGTAAGCTACTTGGAAAAGATAAATTTAAATGAGGGAGTGCCATCTCAACCTTACCAATAGCATTTTCACTGCAATATTATATGATGGAGTAAACACAAGCAGTTAAATTCTGTATATTTTATGCATAATTTTGAGGGATTAAGTGGGATTTAAGTGGTGCAGAGGCCTGGTGTTTTCCCTATAAGCAGAGATTAATTCTACTCACAAGTAATTCTACTCATTTAGTGATAAATACAGGCAAGTAGTCTGCATTTAACTGAATATCTGAACCTGCAATGAGACATAACTCAAGAATTGACACAGCGGGATAAATTTACTTGTACAAAGGTAATTACCAAAGACACCCAGGGACATAGCACAGTATTCAAAGTTCATCTGCTTAAGTGAGCATTTTCCCCATCTAAAATTATGTTTAAGAAAACATAATTAAAACTACTCACTGCTAATTCACCACTCTGAAGGAAAATATCTACAGAGGTGCAGGTGAAGCTTTGTTCATAGTCACGCCTCATCCATCCAAACTCAGAAGAATAGTACATCAGCTGCTGGACTTTAGAATTCAATCCTATGTACAGTGGATGAAATTCATCCTTGTGCCAATGGCTAGGACACAGCGTATGTACCACTTAAAGCCAAGAGAGGGATTTGATACTTTTCCTCTGTAGAGGGGTGAATTTCACCCAATGCAAGTTTTGCCTGGGTAACTCCTACAGGATCAAGTCCTTTATAAATTGTTTGTGACCTTGCACTTGTGTTTCTTCTAATATAATACAGGTTAGCTAAAATGAATAATTTCCCATTATGAAATGAAAACTAAACATACTTTACTCCCCCAAATATATTCAGTTGCATGAATAGGGATGTGGGGGGAAAATAAAGATACCAAAAGCTCCATTGGCTATTACTCAAGAAATAGTTTGAAAACAAAATACCAGCACATAATTTTTACTGTACTACCGAACAAGGATTGTAACATACTGTAGCTTAAAAATGGAGGAAACGAATGATTAAGGAGATGCAGAGCCTGTTGATCTATTTATGCATACACCGGTTCCAGTATTGACACCCATCACTGCAGTATCCCAGTGCCCCCCAAGAATAAAACGCCAACAAAGTGCCCAGTTTACCATCTTCCTGCATTTGTGCAAAAAGAGTTTTTAATGCTATTGAATCAGAATGGTAGTTCTCTTTACAACTGCTTTTCACTGGCTACATCAGGAGCAGGGCAAAGGAGGATCAGGCCCAATATCTTTCTCTTTTCCTTCTTTGCTGGGAAGAGCCAGGCTTATGTTTAAAGCCAGGATTGGGATTGAAAGTTACCATCTGATGGTTCTTCAGTAGCTTATGTGTAGTTGTTTATGAATTTCAGTCCTGTTGTCAATTGGTACTTTTGTTGGCAATCTCAGCAAAAAAGCTGGGCACTAAAATAAGCTCTTGCTCTTATGGCCGGTCCCAGAAGGATTGAGCCCATAGGCATGCAGGGAGCTTGCTTTGCCACTGCCTTTCCTTTAGATATTCTGTAAATAAACCAAGAAATTCAGTTTCCAGGGCTGCCAATCAGGCATCTTTCAAAATTGGTAAATTCCTCTTTAAAACAACCCCAAAAGAGTATGTACTATTGACACTAAAATTTATGGTGTTGCTTACCTAAACTGCCATAGAGCTGGGCTCAAGACAACATTCAAATCAGGATCTGGATTTTGAACAAAGACATTTGGGGAAAAGTCAAATTCAAGATTCAGGCTTGTCCTGTTATAAAGAGAGAGGTGCTGTTTGTACAATTCCGATCCAGATCTGCATTTGGATTTAAGCCTTCCATTGCCAAAGCTTGCAGGTGTTTGGATTGTATCTGTGGGTTCAAGTCTATTCTACGAAACCTCTGCACTGTCTCCCCAGGGCTCAGCATTTCTATAGAAGCCTACAGTCAAAAGACCCTCCCCTCTGAAGTGAATGAGTCAGGGGTTTTAAAATTTCATGAGAGATATTTTTGTCCCCCCAGCTCTCGTCGTGCGCTTCCTGACCAAACGGTTCATCTGGGAGTATGACCCCACTCTAGGTAGGTTACATTTTATTTTAAATACTTATGGAATGCTGCAGATGTTGGCTTTGTAGAAGCAATGGAAAGGCATGGTGTAAAGATTCCAAAACCTCATTCATCCCTTAAATATGATGTTAAAGCTTCTCTGAGGTAAATCCCTAGCTCGAATGAACAGCCAACTGATGTGGCACAATCAACAGGTATAAATACATTCAAACAAAGGCTGTAGGTGGGGTTAAAACCTACCCCTATTGAAGTTAACCGGAGTTTTCCCATTGATTTCTGTGGGGCTAGAATTTGACCCATGGAAATAAAGATGTTAGTTTTCTGCTTCGGAGTAACTGCCCACTGTTTGTGGAAGGTAGAAGGGCTAGGGAAGAGTGCTCAAAGGGGCAAGGGAGGAATAATCCTGTGGACAGTCATTTCCTGTGTAAGCTGTGCAAATCACTTGGGACCATTGCAATGCACAGAACCCCTGCTGAAATGCTGGAGGTACCTAAACTCACTCAATGCCTACGTTTTTGCAGTAAGTCTATGTTTCTGCCTCTGAGTGCGCACACTGCTGCCTCCCTGTGGGTGTCCAGACACCCATCTCCCACCTAAGCCCCTCAGCGATTTACACACCAGGGGAAGATAGATGTTCAGCTTAAAGGGCTCTATCCAGTAGGTGTGATCAGAGGCTGCCCACTGGATCAGGCCCTCATAGGCAATTTTACACAAAACAGTTGGGGGCAGGGGAGGGAGAGGATGACCTCCCTCATCACTTCTTGCCCAGTGGTGAGTGTACTCACCTGGGAAGTGTGAGACCCCCAGTTCAAGTCCCCCCGCCTAAGAAGAGATTTGAACAGGGATCTGCCATTTCTCAAGTGCTCTAACCTTTATAGCATATAGGCATCTCTTTAGGTACTACATAGCTGGGTTTACTATGGCTTTTTACGGAGAGAGGTTTGTTTGGTTTGGTTTTGTTCTGTTCTTCTGAAGAATCATATCAATCTGTTTCTCTGTTTAAAGCAACATAAACTGTGTCAGTGTGACATATTTACCCTACATTGAGGATAAGCATGTTTGTCAAGTGCCTTTTCAAATGTAGAACTAAAACAGATGCATACCACACGGCTACTAAGCAACAAGAGATTTTGCCAGAAACACTGAGGCTGCAAGCAAGAAAAAAAAAGTCATGTTTACAGCTGATTTTCTATATCAGATCCAATGGGATCCATTAACTCTCCCATGCTAGAAGTTGGTTTTCCCTTGGCAATTCCCATTTCTACCAGGACTTATATCAAAACTTCCAAGGCACAGGAAATTCACTCTATTTAGAGTGAATAAAGCATCATAAAATTCCTTGTCCTCCTGTAATTCCTGAAAGGGATCATACATTTTAGATTAAAAGGAATTTATGGGATTCAGTACCACTTTAAGCTTCAAGATAAAAACTAGAGACTCCATGTTACCTCTGTGTGCAGTGTATTATTACATCTCCAGGACCTAAGTTATAATGTTCAGCTGCCACACACATGAAGAGGGAGCATGAATGGGTAGCATGGCTTTGCTAAGGACCCTTGGTGCAAGGAACTTCCATTTAAAGTGAGGGTCTTGCAGCACTAGGGTTGCTACACAGGATATTATTTCTATACATGTGCCCTGTGTGACAGCTTGGGCAATTTCCTGGACAAACCATATTGAATTAAGCTAAACCTTATTGAATTAAGTTTATGTATCATTGTGGGCCAGGGATTGTGTGTAATTTCATAAGGGAGGGGGACCACAACCCACTAAGAACAGTTGGGAGTGGTTTGGCAAATTTACTCAGGTTGTAACACCTCCAGAGAGCTGCTACCACCACCTGGAGAGAGGCTCCCATATACTGGTTCATACTGGAGTTTACAGGCACAAACAAAGAAAGGAATTTTAATTAAATAACCTGAGTTAAAATTAACGCGTGACCTTTTTTCTGAACCAACAAATGGACAGGACATTCTGTACCAGGGGATGGGGGGGTGTAATCTTTCCTGGGAAGGGTTGGATGGATTTGGCTCAGTCTGTGTTATTGTTCTGAGAAAAGGAGTTATGAACTCGTAATCATGGGATAATCCCTTGGTGGGATTTGAAGGATGGTCACCAGCCAGAGTGAACCCTTAGAGTGAGGGGTTGATCTCTGGTAAGCTTATTAGTAGGTTCTTTTATTGTTTTTAATATATTTTCTCTTTAAGGCTTTTACCTTAAGAATAAATGTGCTTGCTTAGAAAGAGCTGTGTGGTAACAGCTTTTGCAATTACACTGTGGACTGTCTCTGAGGAGAAAAGTAATGCAGGCCTGCTTAGGAAACCAGACTTCACCAAGGAATTCTTATTGTAGGCAAGGAGCTGTCAGCCTTGAAATATCCCAGTCAAGAGGGAGAGAGACATGTGTCTCCATCCAAGAGTGGAGGCAGCTGGGATCCAGAAGCCTAGGGGGTGCCCTTGCTGGACCATAGAGGGGGAATAGAGGTGTAGCTGCCCTGAACTATGACCCTGCACAACTGTATCACGGTTAATATTTTAATTTTCCATTCTCAAGTTACTAGGAATGACAATATCAGCAGAGCTCATTACCCAGAGAGTATTAACTATCAGCCAACTCTTGGCTGCCCTACATCTTGATCATTATTGCTTAGTTAAGCACATTCCTCTATCATTTTCTCGGTAGGTGTTTGCTACCTTTTTCTTTTTTTTAAGGTACCAAGCCATTGAGGCTAATTGCTAATTGCTCAAACATGGTCTGCGGATATCTGTGGATATCGGCACATTTGCAGGGCTCTACTAATTCCTTACCTGCCTGGGTATATGAGGCATATCAATCTCTGCTTATAACAAATCAAAACATTGTGCTCTATATGCACACCGCGGATACATAAGGTGCATAGAAAAAAGAGAGATAGACCAAAGTTGCAAACTTCAAGAGCTAGATCCAGATCTACTGTTGTTCCAAAGTTTGGGGTGTCTGAATTGGGTGTTTCAACTAGATTTTCTCTAGTTAGGATACAAGTTGGTGGGAAGGGGAGGTTTGAGCACCAGGAGGCTTTTACCATACATCTGTTTCTATAACAAGCTCACAATTTCCACTAAACAAGGAAATGTGTTATGGTTTTAAAAAGTCTAAAGACACTTGGCACATCTAGGATACATTTTAACCAGCAGTCTAAAAGTGCTTCACAAACATTAATTATCAACAACACCCCTCTGTGGAACTGGAAATATTTGCTCTCCATTTTATTTTTGCTCTATTTACAGATTAAAAAATATCCATCAAACCAAACATAACAGGATGAAATTCACCTCTGTGGAGAGGACCAGCCCAAGTCCTAAGTACCACTAAATCTGATGCTTTCTGGTTGCTAGGCAATGGTAGCATGAGCATTTGTTTGCCACCTCGCTGGCCTAGCATAGGTACAGCACTGTGGCTTACAACAGCCGGGCAGAAGTGTTCGCAAGGGCACAGCTGCAGGATGACCCTGTGGGGCAGCACTGCCACTGCCTGTTGCCATGACAGCAGAAGGACAAGCACATCATGCCTGCCAGACAATATCTTCTCAGGAGCAGAATTACTCACACGTATGCAGAAGCCCCGTGTCCCACGCAAGCCCTGCAGGTGTGCACAGGCCTTGTGTTGGCCCTCTGTCATAGGGAACCATTTCACCCCAAAGGCCATATTATGACGTCTCAGTGATATTGGTGAGCAGTTTATTTACATGAGTAGCCTCACTGAGTGAAACTCAATTTGAAGTCAATTTGAGTTTTGCCAGGATTTTGCCCATTGGCTTTACAAGGATTATTTGTGTGAGTTTCTGTTCACCAGTGTTGATAAGTAGGGATCACAGTCTGAAATCTATGACTCTTCCTCAGAGTATGCTGTGACATGACAGCTGTGATAAAGGCCTAAATTGATGGGAGCTGCAAATATTAGTAATGAAAGAAAAACAACATACAAGGAGATTAGGAGTATGAGAAAATAAAATGAGATTCACCCCCCGGGAAGGTGCATCCCAGGTGATGGAGGGGAATCCAAAACAAAAAGGGAGGGCATAGGGTTGCCAATTTTGGTTGGACGGATTCCTGGAGGTTTCATCAGATGGCATAATATTTAATTAAATGTTAATCTTTAATTCCCGGAGACTCCAGGACAATCCTGGAGGGTTGGCAACCCGAGGAGGGAGAAATTAGGGATATTGCAGTGTCAAGCAAGACCTGCTGTGATAGTGGCAACAAATGAGTTTGCAATGTGACAGAATAACAAAGGCCAATGCAATTTTGGGCTGCATATTTACAGGACATATTTTGGCCCAGAACACCTATATGTGAAAAATCCATGCCCGGGGGAGACAAAGATTACTGACCTAACCCCCAGTTTAGATAGTGTTAGGTCGACAGACTAATTCTTCCATTGACCTAGCTACCATCTCTGGGGGCGGTGGATTACCTATGCCGATAGGAGAACCTCTCCCGTCAGCATAGGTAGTGTGTACACTGAAGCACTACAGTCTAAGTATAGACATACACTAAGATTTTTAAAGTAATCTATATATTATATTTAAACTGATATCAGAGAGCTAATAATCTCAAACAATACTATCACTAATTCTAGTAGTCTGTTGTATCAAGAAAACTTAAATGGCAACATAATTAAAATGTAAGACTCAACATTCTTTACCAGCGTCCCCTGTCCTTCACATCCTCCATGAACATCTTTTTTTTTTTTCTTATCACAGTCAAATAATACAGTGAAGTTAGAGAAATGCTACAGACAATGGAGTTTGTATTATTTACAAGCAAAATATCACTCCATGGTTTTTTTAATATTACACTGGTAGATTCTTGCCCAAAATACAGCCTTTGGATAAACACTTTACATTTCTACGCACTTTTCAAACATGGAACTTAAACAACTTTACAAACATTAATTCATTAAAACTTGACCACACTTCTTTGAGGTGGAGGATTTTACTGTGGGGGGAGGGACAGCTGCTGCACAGGGAATTT